CGAAGAAAAAATCACTATAGCATAATTAGGTATTGAGTTTGTCAAATTAAATTTCGTATTATTAATGGCAAAGGACAAACGAAAAGTAACAATAAGCACCTATATTTTATGTATGCCTTATATATTATATTGTATACTGGCATTGTTGTAATTTAATTCATATTATCAAACTTGCTAAATAAACACATTAATTATACACGGTGATTCACCAAACATGTTAGCCCCTGTTTTTTTTTTAAGAATGCAATTTATTTAAAAACTGATTTTTTCAATTTTTACATATACTTCAAAATGGAGATACAATCTTGTGTTTTCCAAGTGCGAACCTCGCTTCAACTGTAAATTATTCAGTGGATAATTTTTCTGAAAAATTTGACGTATCAGAATCAAAATTCGTACGAGTAGTTTTTGAGCTCTTTAACTTTGTGTTCTAAGGATAAAAGGTCCATGGTAATGGGTTTATACTTTATAAAGTATGGGGGCCATAGGGATTTGAATATTTTAGTCAATAATATTAGTCTATCAACAATAATAATTTCTATAATGGCCAAACCAAATAAAATACTACTCTAATATTATGTTTATTTTACACTTTTGTAGAACCATTATTAAGGACACTATTATATCCTTACGTAGGTACTACAAACATTTTAATACCTAAGAAAATACTTATTCAGATTTTGAATTAGCCATTAGGTACATAAAATTTTTCAAAAAAACTATCCACCAAATAATTCCCAGAAAAATAGAAGGATTCTCACTTATCATTTGAAAAACAGGAATTTGCATTGTCACAGGACACTCTTTAAGTAGTACTGAAAAATCTACGAGTTCGACAAAAAATTGTTTTTGAGTGTATTTAAAAGTTCCAAAAGTCAGAATTTGAATACATTTATTATTAAAGGAAAAATGTGGCTGAGCATGCTTGGTGAATCACCTTGTATACTAATATCATATAGGCGTACTACTTAAAAATAGAAATATAACGAAAACTACTAAAAATTCTAATATTCTATTCGTTATATTAATTCAAATTCACGATTTTCATTTTTGTTTAACTACATAGTTTTAAACTATATAAATCATTAGAAGGTACATTATAATATATTCTATAGGTACAGTATAATTATTAATAACTCGAAGGTTGACATGAACAGATAATGTTAATGTATTAAATATAAATGAATGTAAATTTGTATTCACTGCTGTGCAGTTTTATAATAATTCCTTGTAAGGTGAGTAAGTCGACTTACAAACTTTTTCACACTCGAATCACGTTATGTTTTATAATCTACCCACAGTCCCGCATTTTTAAAGTATGAAATTATAAATAATGCCACTCTAAATAATTTTTCTCTACAAATTGGAAAAATGCATTATATACTATGCATTATTAAAATGTGTTACCCAATATCGTGCTCGGGAACGGATTATGCACTGGGTAGTGGATACCTACAAAAATAAAAAATAAAATAAATTTATCTTATTTATAGTTATTGACTTATTGGTTGAATTGAATGGATATACACAGCAGAAAAACGTACTTTGATGAATAACATTTGATGTTATTATTTATTGCTTATAGTATAATGTAGGTAGCAAATACAAATAAATAATAATAAACATTTACTTATGGTTTTTTTTTTTTTTAATAAGTTAATAAAGTAATTTGTTAAATATTAAAGAATATGCAATTTAAAACCAAAATATATTTTGAAATATTTATATTACCTTTCACACATATTGCCAAGTTGTAATACCAAGTACTTATATTATATCATAGTAAATGTGAAAACAAAACAACATTTTAATATTTTATTATATAAATCTACTTATATGAAGTAAACCCTTGAAATCTCTCCAGACGTAAAGTTTACCTTTTAGGCCTCAATGAAACAAAATGGCATTTTTAATTTTATGGCCTGAACGTTTAGCTACATAATTTATTTTACATCCTGAGAATTCCTGAATAAGTTTCTACAGTGTGACCTCATGCCTACATAGTTATTATAATTAATATGTGATACATTTTTATTCGTAATAATACAATAATAACTATTACCATTACTTTAATTGTTTAGTACGTACAATACCTAGGTATATATTATATTTATAAGTGCAATTTTAATCGACAAAATGTTAGTTTTGTTCAATTAAATACACATGTCCAAATAGAAAACATAAGTAAATAATAAATATGATTTAATCCTACAATACAGTAATATTTTGAAAAATGCGGACCAAAAAAAATATAACGATGATTGCAAAAAATTTATAAACTGGTGATTTGTTTTTTAAATTTTCATTAGATTGTAAGTTTGTTTTCAATACATATTAATTTGTCTAGTAATCATATTTATATAGGTGTAATTGGTTTACAATAAAGCGAAAATGACCAGTCATGTATGTGTATATTGTATATTAAAATAATATTTATTGACTACCCGTTATCGGTCGAAAATACTAGGTAGGTATATAAAACATTTTAATATGGTCGTTACCGTACTACGATTCATTTATTAATTGATAATAATAATTATCAATCGATCGAAAAGGGCACGTCGAGTGGCAAAGGGTTCGGAATTTTAATCGGCTACAAATAGGACGCTGTAGAGTGCGTAGTCCGTGTATCAATAATAAATTATAATTACCTATTACTACCTGTACAATATAATATTTTATATTTTGTTTGAATTATTAAAACAATGAAACTGATTCCAATGATAGGAAGAAGAAACGAAGATCTTTAAAACGTATTAAAAATCGAAAAACAGTGAACATTAAAAAAAATTTCTCAAAAATAATATTTAAATATAGTATTACCGAGGCGTGCGTTTACTAGCCGTTTAGTCGAAACCGATTCTTTGGCCGGCGTTCCGATTAGGCAATTCAGGCACGACAATGTCAAGGGCTCCGGGCGCCATAACTCACTCCCACCCGACGCCACACGCACTACACACGCATACTTATAAAAACAATAAAAAATATAGGTAATATAGGTAATATTGTAATTTATAATATTATGATAGACATTGCTATTAAATACAAAACTATTTAACGAAAACAAGCACTTATTAATTGCGTTATAGTACGTTTAAGCGATGAATTATAATATAATATACGGTATACTGGTATACCTATACTTATACGGTATCGAATGTACGTTGTAACTATAATGTTCATGGCCGGATTAACATGGGTGCAAAAGGTGCACATTTCTACAAGACGCCAGCTTTTGAGGGGCGGCCATATTTAAACTACCTACCTATTCAGACAAATTAAATATTACAATAATTATTTATTTATTCTTGATGATGTCAAATTTGTTATATACAATTTTTGATTTAGACTTTGAAGAAGTAATAATACAATATAAAACATTTTTGGCCATCATTGTGTTTTCCATCCGAAGGCAAAACATAATTATGTTCATTACACAATGATTCAACCATCATAAAAAAACATCATCATATTGATTTTAGAAACATCGTTGCCTAATATCGAAATAGTTTTAAAAATTACTTTTTATGGATTTTGCTATGCACAAAAATCCCCCCTCAATAATAAATAATAATTTAATAAATCAAAACATGTTAAAAAAAGTACCTATTTCAAAAATTATTATATGGTAGTAAATAGAGGATTGCATTAAATGTAATGTAGGTAATACGTAAGTACCTATTAATATTTATTGTATAAATGTATAATATGTCATACACTGATAAGCATCTTGATGATTCAGGGAAGATGTAATACTAACTCGTAATTTTACTGATTTAGACCTTCCAAATATTTAAAAGGACATTTCAAATTTTAATAGATAATGAAGTTATATTAAAATATTAAAAGCAAATTTATTAACTTAAAATAACAATAATTGTTATTGTTCCAGTATAACTTTATGTTTAGTTTTTACATTTTAACAATATTATTTAACTTGTTTCCAAAAAAAAAACGCTTTTAAAATAAATAGTGATTCTAATCATTTAAGCGGAGAGTGAACATTATTTGTATAAGTTATTTAAATTCTTATGATGTATTTGAATGGACTTAAGAGGGTGGCCGTTTATTGAGCAGTAAAAATTCAGGGAATTTTTAGTTATGTTTCACGACGGAAATACCACAATAAGCCATCCTAAAAATCAATCTATTTCAACAATCAAAAACGACTTTGCAGGAAAAACGATCACATCTCTAAGAATAGTAAAATTTAGATAATTATTTTTTTAATTTAAAAAGAAAATATATATTTCGGTCTCATTTGACTCCAATTTTTAAATTAACTTTAACACCAAAATAATATAATCCATAATGCTCTAAGACGTGTGATTATTTAAGACATTTATTACAACAGCTGAATATAATAATAATAATATAATACACCCTTAAAAATGTGAGTCTAATGCATTCTGTGTAAAGTCTTAATTTTTCATATACAAAAAATTAAGTAAATCTGACTTCTTCAAGAGGCGTCAGAGATTTTCCTGCAAGTTTAATATGTACTAAAAACGCGTCGATTCCGACTGCCATACACACAGACTGCACTCTAAGCACCCACTAAATCAAAACAAAACATTTTTCTATTATATTAGGCTGGGTGGTTGCTTTTCTCTGACGCGGATTGTTTTGGTATCGATGAGAAATTTAGTGTGAAAAACGTGGGTAGTAATTAGCCAGGTAGGTATGAAGGAGAACGAATAGAGAGAGAGAGAAAAGCGTATTCCACTCTCGTCGGCGATAAACAAGAGCATTTTTTTTCAGTTATTGAAAAAGCACAGCGGTATACAACGAAAATAAAATATTGATGATAATAATAATAATAATGAATTAGAAGAGCGTCACCGTGCGGAGGAGTAGAGAGAAACGGAAAAGTAAAAAAATAAATAAATAGAAGGTAGTGGCGTTCGTCCATTGCCGGCCTTCGTCGGCCCCTCTCGACCAGTCGATTCCCCCGTCGCTCACGAAGTACCACCGCCGTCGCCGAGCCACCGCACGACCGCGTTTTCATATCACAGTGATCGCTCCGTGTGCGCACCGTGTCCGACTACGACTTACCACTCGTTCGCTTATCGCGTACTCGAACGGTTCCGACGAAATATTGTTAACCGTTTAATTATAATTATATTATTGTTATTTTTATTTTTTCCCTATACTACTCTTTATAAAAAATATATATTTTTTCATATTATTATATTATTATACATTTTTACCATACAGTGTTTTTAATTCTTAATTTATATTTTATTATAACGTGCGTTTTTCTGTGCTTTTGAACTTCACCGCAGTGCTGTTTTTTATTTTTACCTATATATTTAAATAATATTGTATTTTTTAATTGTGCTCGCTACACGACTCTGCCGTTTGGATACAACAATCTCTGATTCTTCGCACATTAACCGGATCTATTATCTGAGTAAGTTTCGATTGTTCATATTATTGTATGCATTATAGCAGGTCTTAGCTCGGTTATATTTTGAAAGTAAAAATAATTATAGTGCATAAAGTGACGAAAGTTAATTAATTCTATATTTCTCTGTAAACTATGATTATATAAAATTAAACGAAATATTTGAGGAGGAAAAATGCTGACCGTTTGAACCGATAATGATAGTGCCACCGAGGGGTCAAAATCTCGGGAAACGTAGTAATAAGCTTTTAATACCTCGTTGTCGTGTCTTGGCCCGGTAAAATCCGACGAGTCAATAACCTTTGAAAATGTAGATAATTATGGTGTAAGTGTATGCATTTGTGTGTATGTCGTATGTGTATGTGTGTCTGTCGGTCACATGAATATAATACCATTCAGTTGATTTTATGAATACGTTCGAGTCATTAGTGCAAATATTAATTAAGCTGTTTGATAACGACAACGGCGCGTTTCCCTCACGCAGTCACGCGCACGCGTTTATGATAAGAACTGAACGTGAATGGACTCGGTCGTACTCGGGAGTAGTTAAATTCGTTTTTTCACTCTAAATTGTTTATTTTTTTTAAGTTCGAAGTTAAAAGTTTGTTGTTTTTAGCTGATAGCCAAAAAAACAAAATAAAAACAAATAATTTTTTGTTGGCAGCGGCCGTCCTTGAGCACGGTAAACCATTATTCTTATATAATAATTTTCCCTCGCAAAACAGTTGTCTTATGTATATCGCATATTGCGATCGCGGTTCGCCTTCGTGCTGATGGTGCCTTGAACTTCCACTGTCCGAGACCTTAAGACGTACATAAGTGTGTGAGACAAATACACTGTTAGCAGATCAACTAAGCGAATTCGCACCCCAAGGTGGTCTCCAAAATATCCATGTCCTTGGGGGTTATTCGTGTGCTCCATGAGATTTGGATGATAGAAAAAGGATCCGTGACGTCACCGATGTAAACAACAACTAGTTTTCAGTGCACAATATTAATCGAATTGATATACAATCATATACTCGAAGAGTGGATATTTGAGTCACGCACTTGGACGTGTGTGTAGGTACCTATGTATTTTATTCGAGTACATAAAAAAGCGGCACCGCGTACCTATACCACCGCTCCACCTCCAAGCGAGTTTCACAAGGTTTAGCAACGCGGAAGGAATGGTCGCCTTGATGATAACTCGAGTTCTACCTTGAACATTACCTTGATTGCCACCATCGGTATACAATTTTTACATTTTTATCATTGATAGATAGTCTATCTCTTATTATATGGGTTCGAGAGTGTGAACAGAAAAAAAAATATACAAACAATACGCGATACTATGCCCATTATATACATATATAGGCACACAATATACCACGCATTGGTAATAATTACTATTATAATCAAACACGAATGTTTATGTTGGTATAATAATATGGTATAAAATAATAATATATAACATGTATAGTAATCTTTATAAAGATTCGTTAAGAACTCGAAAACGGCAGTGTTTGACCAACGTGGGTTTAGTTTTTAGTGTCAAGGTCGTAACAATGCATTATCGATGTTTTCGCGTAATGTAGACCGATACAGTTTTCTATATCCCGCGTGTTTTGTTATCATTCTATCTTTGCCAATGTTTGTGAAAACAATTCGATTTTCACAGAACGTGACATCAAAATGGATTCGAAATATTCAATCTTTCATATATGTTGGGCCTTGAACGTGTTACGAAGATACATGACACACTTATAATATACAGTTTTTAAAATTGTATAAATTGTATTTATTGAGGGGGAGGCGCAAAATAAAAACTTTGCAGTTTTCACCACAAATATCATGTTTTGAAAACAATATACCTTATAATCGTTTCACTGTGTAGAGCCTTTTTGATATTCTCATTCCGTCGACCTTGATGGATACGAGACCTTGCTCTGTATCGAATTATGTGTGCCTTATTTTTCTCCAATTAGCTGATTAAACGATGTCACGAATTGATCATTTGATGAAAATACACTCTCGATGCTTTGGTTTTTGGTTGTATAATCTGATCTATTTTTATGTATTAAGGGGTGAAACGTGTTGTCGAATCCGAAAAATCTTTTATTTGAACTTTTTTCAAAATAAAATAATATTTACCAATAAAAACGCCATCTAGTAGCGGTTCGATACATGAAACATAATACGATGCACTTTTATAGTATATGCCGACCACATCAGACGCCACGACCTTATAGCTGTTGAAAATTCTATTCAACTTGACCTCCGAGTCATTACAAGATGATGTTGTCCACCTTTGGTGTAGTAGGTGAAATCGCGATTGACAATAAAAACGATTTCATTGCCGAAAATATTTGAGACTTATATTATTTCCGTTATCACTTCCACCATGTCCATAAACTACTATATTTTGGTCACTTCATACCACCACTATTAGTATATTATGCATTTCACACAAAGATTTTCTTTACGTGGTAGAAACACAAAAAGTGGTATTAGTGCATAGTCTATAGTTGTTTATCTCCTGGTGTGTTTAGAACGATTTCTTTAATTATTTTTCTCAAACTGTTGTCGTTTCTTACATTTTTTGTGTCACTTTTTTCGTTGTTGAAATTCAAACGTCACATTATTATTATAATAACGCGATCCCATAGATGATCTATAGGCATACGCTCACCTTCGATGACGTATATTGAAAACTTGGTGAAATTGCGGAACAGTTTACGGTGCACGCTGGTTCACTTACGGATCGAGAAACAGTGGCCTAGAGACCGCACGCAACTATCAAGGTGATACAAGTGGAATATAAAAACCAAGAAATAAGTATGACCCGAGGTTTTTATTTTGTCGTCTTAAAATTAAATACATACAGCGCACAGGTGTATAATACTATCATGTATAGGTAATTATACCGTAGAAAATTACCTCTTACGCTAATGGCGTCAATTGTTATAGAATTGAAGGGTGCTCAATGCAAATGTGGTTGATTAACTTTGGCGAGCAAACAATACGAGAGACGTCGTTTGATAAAAGTATACAGTCCTTACGTTTAGTCACTATGGTATAATATAAAGAAATAGTTCTCTGCAAAAGTACAATACGCTGTCTTTGAGAGGGTGGTAAAACATTATTTTTAATTAACCGATTTTTTGTTTTAATTCTCTTATATTTATATAGTAGTTTCTATTTCTGTTTGTCTCGCTGTCGAATTTCCAAGAAAACTGATATTGAACACCATGACGTGACAGTTTTCACAGAAATACGACGTGGACTTTTCGTTCATAAATAAATCAATCCTTATATAGGTGTAATATTATGTTCCATATAAATATTATATATGACACGGTACAGTGTTTGGTGTTGGGTAGCTCAACCGTAAAATTTGACTAGAGGATTTGATTTCTGTCCATTAAATTACAATCTAGTAAATTCAATTGATTTCTGATGTTTATTAATGAAAACAATATTAATTAATTAGCATTTTTTGTGTAACTTATATATAATATGCAATACAATATAAACAATACCCCATCGTTATTATTATTGAAACAAAAGTTATTTCTCAAGACTTAAGTCATTATATAAAAGTTTTAAAAGTTATACTAGAGCAATAATCGAGTTACGTGAGTACATTTTTTAAGTCATATTTATTGTGCTTGGTGCAAAATTTTTCAAGTTTTATTTGTAAACGGTACAACTTCAAACACTTATGCCACATGAATCTAAGTTAATTCTAAAATTATACACTCCAACGCAATTTTTCAAAATTTGAATTGAAAATTATTTTTTCCAACAATTTATTACCAGCTGAATGTCTGCGTTTAATGCTTTTACTCTACTTTGTTTTACGATTAATATGCTTATATGTTCAAATGTTCTATACATCGAGATCAATTGTCGCTTCTTCTTTAAATACATAGTATGTCGTGCGCGTGAAAGTATCACGAATGACTTATCCGCCTACCTTTTATATTATATACATTTGCGAAGACACGAACTTGTCTAAACGCTAAGCACACGCGATTTCCCTCATTATTTATTATTTTGAAACGGTTGTATATCGTCTTGAACTATCACAAAAGTTAACTCGTAGTTATGAAAAAAAAACCCTATATTGAAAATGCACTCTTTTGTTGATATTATATTAACCCAAAACACATGCCAATATTAGGTAGATATTCATTTACCCATATAAGTAATTGGATATAAATATCGACGTCGATGATATTTATTTATATAAACATATTCAGAGTGATAATCAAATCAATTAAAGTAAAATAACATCATAATGTGAAAAAAATAATTTGTAGGTACATAGCACTTTATTAAACCACTAATATTGCTATCATGATAAATCAAACACAAAATACTCGTAAAGTTATAATTTGTTGCATACCTAAGTAAATTATAAAATTGTGGTTCTAATTAAAATATTATTAAAATCAATTAAGTGGATAAATGTTTGGCATTCACTCTAAAATCATTATTATTATAATAATACTTTTACATGTAGTTACACACTGTAAGCTTATTACATGTGTTTTGAATTTTTATCTTAAACATTCGTAAGTAGGTATTCAACAGTAAATTGAAGTGTTCCCCGAATACAATATTAATTTATCTAATCAAAAGTTTCGGTTGCCGCTAGAAATTGATAATTTCTTTTTTACTGCACTATTTTAATATGTCACTAAGATCTTAAAACGGCTTTATGGAACATGCGCAGAAAAAATATGCTCTTGGCGATTGCAAAATGATTTATAGTGCTCATATCTAATCGACAACACGGACACAGAGACGGTGCGCAACCACGTAATGTCCTCCAAACCCATCCAATCCCGATCGAAAATAGGCGCCATAGATCGATAAAAAAAATCCAGTCCATTCCTAGTATTAAAAATAACAGAGCCTCAATATTATAAGTACCAAGACGTTCCAGCATATTATTTTTACAATAGTATATAATATAATTGAATGAAGGACAAGACGTATAAAAAACTACATCGCAATGT